AAGAGGATCCTCTTCCCTCATTAATACACCAATTATAGATCTTGAAAATTTATTTTAATTGATTTCTTTTTAATATGGATCCTACAAATATCAATTTCCATGTCCTTTAGTTTTCAGAACTTTGTCTATAAATTTAGTCTCCCTAACATTACCTAACCAAAAAACATATTAGTTGGAAAAAAAAAAAAATATCTGACATTGCCACATCAGCCATCCAAATTAACATTTGACATTTATCTTTTGACATCTCCATTGAAGATGCTTTTAATTGATATAACAGTTGTCACAAATCTATCCATCCAAAATGTGTTAATATTAACCATACATTGCAACTAAGAATTTAAACATTGAAACAAGAACAAAACCAAAAAACAAATTGCAGAACTTCAAAGATGAATTTGATCTGAAGCAAGCTTATAATTCAACACTCCCTTTTAAACTTGTTGGTGATTTAACTACAAGGATACTTATGAGCATATAGAATCTGTCTTTTGTCAAGGCCTTTGTGAAGATGCCTACCAAGTTTCTCAAATTTGTAGAAAACAATATTGATGATATTTTTTTGCAATGCATCTCTTATGTAGTGATATCTTCTGTGAATGTACTTTGATCTCTAATAGAAGACAAGGTTCATTGCCAGTTGGTAACCGTTGCATAATTTCGTCATGTTATCTAATGTGGAAATATTTTTTTAGTATAATTTTGGCCTATATGCTCTCATAGTTTATATGATTAAATGTTGATGGTTGGATTGCCGAAATTAAATTTACAAAGTCCAAAAATCGTGTATGGATTTGGATATGTTAATAAAGGCCACGAACTTACAGGACAGATCCTCCATCGGCAAACATAAAATATGTGCCCGACAAATACCCTAAACCCTAATTTATGCTCGATAAATACCCTAATGAGTTGCCCGACAAACCATCTATCGCGTAAAATATCGCATAAATATTACTTAAAAGACGGATATTTGTAGCGTAAGGCCGTGGATTTAAAAAAAAAAAGAAAGAATTGATAATTACATATAGTTTATTACAGCAATTGTACATTAATAAACAATCAATCATTGTCGGTATACTCATATGCTTTCTTCTACCAAGGAATTCCGTTGAGTTGGTGGTGTGTGTCCAAGGTCAATTATAATGTATCTATTTCAATTTCTTGGTGGTTCAACAATGTGGTTGCTCCGTACTCTGGGAAGGTTTCTGGTGAATGAAGAAGAACCCGTATCGTGAACATCTTAATCATCATCAGTATCCTCATCATCATATTATTTTCCAACTATCCTTGAGCTTTGGATCATCCAAGTAGAATATTAGTTTCATTTTATTGGCAAGGATGTATGGATCATTTTCAAACAATTGGGTGTTTGTGTCAACAGATAACAAATACATATCTTTAATGACATTGTTTGATTTGTTTGGGTTCGTATCATACCAATGACACTTGAACAACATGACTTCCTTATGGTTTGTGTATAATAATTGCCACAATTAATAGTCTACCAAAAAAGGACGAAGTGTCTTTGCCGCATGTTGGGAATGCCATATACATTAATGGAGTCGCCTAGAGATTTTAGCCCCAATGGTAAAAGACTCATGATCATAAATTCTTTCTTTATGCACCTCTAAAGGGGTAAATTATATAGAAGAATGACCACCGACCAATTGATGTGATCACTGGAAAAATTTCCAAACGGATTGAAGTCGTCAGAAGCAAGTCCCAGTCTTACATTCATTGGCTTTGTAGCAAAATTGGGGTAGATTTTATCAAATTCTTTCCATGCTTCACCATCAGCCAGCCAGATGCTACAGTACATCATCGTCAACCCATCTTTCCTTATGCTACCTCATATCACGTGTTGTATGGTTGGAAATGTACAATCTCTGTAATCTTGGTATAAGGGGAAAATAACGTCACACCTTATTCAAAATCTTGATCTGTTGACATCGAGGCTCATTGCACTTGGTACATTTGTCAACTTCTCAAACTAACAGTTGAACAATATACAATTGTTCTTGCATGCATGGATCTTGTCATATCCTAAACCGAGATCGTTTAAGATATTTTTCAACCCAAAATGATTTGAAAGCAATGCATTTGGTTTTAGAAGCATACGTTTAAGAATACCCATCATCATATCAAAGTTCCAATTGGTCAAATTATATTGTACTTTCATGTGCATTAACTTTACAACGACTATGAGGACGGAAAAATCTTCACAACCACAGTACCATTCGCACACAGCTTCCTTCAACAATTTATCATGCTTATCGGGGTCAGTGAACCCTTCATCTTCCATATTCAGTGAAGCATTTGAAAGAGCATCATTCAAAATGTCCATCACTTGGTCATCATCAACAGGACTTGATGGAGAAGGTTCATGACAAACTGTCCCACTATCGGAGGACGTTGACATTGTAATGAGCGATTCCCATGATAAGTCCAATTGCAATAATTGTGTACCATCCCTTTTGAATATAAGTGATATCGAGCTTTGTCCACCGTCATCCACACCAATTATTCCATTTCACGCACGGACACTGAATATGGTTCTGAGCACTAACATAATTCCTTGCAAATTTAATAAAATTGTCAGTCCCATCCATATATTGGACAAAACTTTGATTTTGTAAATTGATCCACTCCTTGTCCCTCGTTCCTGTATTCAGAAATTTTAGTCATCAAAATGATTTCAAATATGCTTCATCGCCCTTTTATGCCTCAAGTGAAGATCTTATCCCATTCGAAAGTGCACTTTTTGTATTGCGGTTTGCAAATCACCCAATTATTTCTGATCGTAAAAAATTTAGCAGCATCTCCCCAGGGTTCTTCAAGTGCACAACATGAATATTACAGACAAATATCCACTATGTACTAGAAGAACAATAGGAGGATACAACCGAATTTTTCACAGAAAAAACTTAGCCAAGTTCATCGCAAACCCGAAACACATACTAGTGCACTCCTGAACTGCCCGAATTGGACAATTCAAGATTAAGTTAGATCACGGAGCAGCATACTGTGTCTACATGCGTGTCCAACAAAATCTCAAAGGGTCTAAGGTATATTGAACGAATTTAATCAACATAATTAAGTTTGTATAAATTGTCTGTCGATTATATTCAAACTTACCTGACGAACAAGCCGTTCGACAATAAATCTTTATCATTAACGTGCCAAATTATCCCTTGGCACCAAATTTTTGCCCAACAGAAGTAGGTTTGGCCTGCGAATTTTTGCCATCTAAAAAAATGTCAACGAACCTAAGATGTTGATTGTACTAACCATTCGAGAATACGTCTCCTAAGACCATCTCCAACTGAAGGGTCCAGAGGGCCAGAGGGCCAAAAATAGCCCGAAAACCATCTCCGACCAAGGGCCAGGGCAAAGGACTCGTGAGCCCCATTGGACAAAAAAAGGGCCAAAGGGCCAGCCGGGCAGCCCAAATGAGCCAGCTAGCCGGCCCTGGGCGGGGCCACATACTAACGTCATATTTTGATTTTTTTTTTTTATAGTTTTTATTTATATATATATATATATATATTTTACATTAAGTAACATGAAACAACATTAAACAATATTAAACAACATTAAATAACATTAAGTAACATTAAACAACATAAAAAAAAATAACAACATGAAACTTAAACAACATTTTTAAAAACATTTAACAACATGAAAATTATTGACAATCCATAACATAAAATTTTTGAGGTAATTTAATTTAAGTAACCATAGTAATTCAATTAAAATAATAAATTATGTTTGGCCCTTTGGCCCTCGGTTAAAGATGGTTTTTTTGTGACAAGGCTATGATTGGCCTGACCCTTGGTTGGAGATGGTAAGAAATATGACCTTGCAGTGTTCATTAAAATATTATTTTCTTGGGTGGTTGGCTAAAACGAGCCATCTAGCCCTCTTTCGGTTGGAAATGGTCTAACGATCTCCATATGTTTCGACTTTTCGCCCTACTAACTAAAGTAAAAACCTAGCTACCTACCTACCCGAGTAGTACTATATAGTATAATATACTCAAATGAATCCTAAATCTCTCATCTTTCTTCTTCAACTTTCTACCCATCTGTTTAGCTCCTTGTCGTTAACTTCTCTAAGCATCTAGTAAACGGTTAATTCTGGGATGTTCTAACTCCTTTCTCATATCTTATTACTTACCGGAATGTTCTACTTAGTTACAGGGAGTTCTACCGAACCATCAAACTTCTTTCGTTTTCCTAGTTTTGCTGGACGAAATTCATTTTGCCCTACAATTTTCTATACCAGTAACATTGTCTTAGCTTGTATATTCCTACTAATTCTAGGGTTTGTTCATACAGGTTCTTTGCATGTATGCAAGCGGGACGTACCCAACGACAGGGGTGAGCACAAGAGAAAGCCTAGGCTGTGGGAACAGTTGCCGAAATGCTTATGGCAGTCCCTCTTCCCCTCTGCTAAGTGCTCCGCCTCCAGAGCCTGCTTGACTGGGAAGGAATCTGTGATCAAGCTACCGGTCTTTGTGATGTAAAATGATAAAGAGGCATGGTAATGAGTCCTATCAACACCACTGATCACGTACGATATCCCTGTATCGATATGTATATGGGAAAAAAGAAAATGCAGAGCCAAAACACCTGCAAATCCAAACATCAGAGAACCGTAACTGCGTTAACACATTTGAAACAGCAGTCATCAGTCGATGATTATGATCATAACTTCAAAAAGAATACATTGATGAGTAAAAACTTTACGATCTCTTTTTCACAGCTGATATGGTTTTATCTTGTTTTAAACAGTCATTTTCTTAACCTGTACGCAAGCTCATATACTGAAAAACTCCGGCTAACTAAGACGACCAATCTATCAGAAAATTCAATATGAACATCATGAACATCAATTTATTTCGGAGCAGCTACGCTTTTTAGTGTTCCTTCCCGAATGCAAAAAATCAAGACAACACATCAAACTAAAACCAATTCAAAGATGAGAACCAAGGAAACTAGCACATGAACCACTTTCGCATTTCATAGCAAATGATATGTTACATGAATACAAATCCACATCACTTCCTGTTAAATTACAATTAAGAAGAAAGTATTGGAAGTATGACGGAGCAGAGAACAAAGATCATCCGCTGCACCCGACAATATCAGTTCCAAAGGAAGACTGAAAACTCTTTTTTAGTATGACTTTGCAAATATAGCTACTTCCTCCGCTGGATTACCAGTCATCAAGCATGTTTTAATATCTTGCGGCTGTTCAAAAGGAAAACACCTAATGGTTGCCCCTGTTTCTTCTTTTACCTTTAACTCATCTTCATCACTGCACCAATTATTGGAGATACATATTAATAACAGAAAAGCAATTCACCCCAGCTAGAAATAGTATTCATTATGCAATTAGCGAATCAATCCATTTTAAAAGAATTCGGGAATAAACATACCTAGCCGACCAAGGACCTCTTGCCCATTTGCCCTGGGAGATTGCAACTTTGAGTTCATCATATGAGCTGACATCAACAATATTACTGCAAACGAAAAAATAAAAAAATATTAAACATTCTTCAAGTCGATACCTACATAATTTTCCAATCAAAGTGCAAAAGTAATACATGTAGGAGCATAAGAAGGAGAAAAGCATCTTAAGACTATAAAGTGAAGTAATACGTGTTACTATAAATTATCTTTACTAGTACTGTTTCATAAACTCTGAAGGAGAAAGCATATTTAGACTATAGAGTAATTAATTTTGGAGCAAGAACGCACCAATCTCGGAATGATTTTGCTTTTTCCAAAAGTGATGACTGAATCTCATCCAACTTGTCCTTGATATGAGCCTCCAAAATTGACGGCTCCATGGATATTCCGAAGACCTTCCCTTGCTTTCCAGGAACATCTCTTCTACATATAACCACAGTCTGGCTTGAAACATCACGAGGGCCAATTTCAATTCTTACAGGGACTCCCTACAAAATCAAGGGGAGTTGATGAGATAATTGACAATAAGAGAACATTGTCAGACATCAATTTTTATCTTACAAGAATAGATCCAATATACATTCACAATTGACCAATGCCAGTTTAAGAAAGAGGAAACGCAGATTTTATTCATACAAGTGTCGGGCGAACATCCCAAGAGTTATCTCAGGCAAGACAAGTCAAACAATGAGAAAGAAGAGATGGCTAATAGATGATAGCTTTTCAACTCATCTCTCTGAGAACTTGTAAATATAAAAGATGCTCGACTCATAAGAATGAATGCAAACCTTCATCTCCCAGAAATTGAATTTCCATCCTGGGGTTCTCTGATCAGAGTCATCGAGTTTAACTCTAATGCCTGCAGTCTGCAATGCTTCTTTTACAGATGATGCAGCATTCAGAACTCCTTCTCTATCGTCATCCTTCTTCCAAATTGGTGTGATCACCACCTAGAAGCAACCAATGAATGTTTTTGAGAAGAAAAGGCATGCATGCCTACAAACTTGGCATGTGAAGTTTGAAACACTCTAGACAATTGACAATCAAATTGAACTTTAACAAGGCATCCATTCTTAACAAAGAATACTAGAACTACATGATTTTGTGGAGCAGAAGAAATTATTAATCCAACTATTATACATCAGAAGACCAAAAGAAAGAATTTGCACCGAAAATTTTCTCAGCCAAACAACAAACTATACATTACAAAGTTGACAAATACACAATCTGGACAAAGACTCTCAAACAGAAGGAGCCCAGACATTGATGGATTAGATGGCCACATCCATAGAGGAATCATCACCCATTTACTATTCTATTAAGCAATAACAAAACGAACCAAGTCTGTGGAGTTTTAACTTGTCAAACCAGAGTTTCTTGGATTGCAACGTCATAAATGGATTGTAGTTTTTCTCTCCATACTCATAACTTTCCAAGCTGTGAGACACACCTTCGGAATTCGCTATACAATAGCGAGAGACAAAGAATAAACAAAATTGCTCATCTAGAAAATTTTCTATAGTTAGATAACTTAAGAGTACACCAACATTCTTTTGCTCCTATTCTCATTTAGTCAGTTCACATCCATTGCATTTGCAGTAAATAAAAGTAGCAATGATTAGATGTCAATAAATTGTAGTTTTAAGTTTTAACCAAACTAAAGAATTTCCAGCCACCCTCATACTATGACAGCACATTCTTCTCAGAAAGCAGAAATTGTACTGACTTTGATGTATAATAGATTATACTTCGAAAAAGATCTACAACTATAGACAGTCTTACAGCAGGCAGATGCACATCCATATAATCAAAGCACCGCAACTTTAGGAATATGCATTAGTATCATAAAATGCACAAAGTCTCCAGCTATAGCTTTACCTGTATTGGTGCAATCTTTGGGGGAAGCATTAAACCTGTATCGTCTCCATGGGTCATGATAATACCACCAACAAAACGGGTACTAACTGCCCACGATGTCTGCCACACATGTTGCCTCTGTCCACTTTCATCAGTAAACTGTGCATGCAAACATTTTGGTTAAATGGGTCATATACAATTAAAGCATACAAGACCAATAGCCAATCATCGCAAAAAATGATATGTATTGAATACTTAAAAGGAGAACTAGAGATTGTATTCTCTTCTATAGAATACTACAAATGAGACTTCAATTTGTTGAAACATTTGGAATCAAAGAAAGAACCACACATGCATATTCAAGTACCTGTGTTTGAAAGGCACGAGAAAAATTCTGCCCAAGATTGTGGCTGGTGCCAGCCTGTAATGCCTTCCGATCACCCATCATAGCCTCTATTGTATAGGTCCTAACAGCACCAGCAAATGTTTCAACTTTTGACTTTCGACCTGCAATAACAGGTATTGCAGTTTGCTCATAAGCAAATTTTGTATACACGTCAATCATCTGTATAGCCTGCAGTCAGCAGCACTAATGCATTAAACAAAACTCGCTCTTGTTTTGCAACTTTTTAGGGGCAACCATTATGTCAGATACAGACCTCTTTCTCTGCCTCCTCTGGAGTAGCATGAGCTGTATGACCCTCCTGCCAGAGAAATTCAAGTGTCCTGACAAAAGGTTTCGTCCGCATCTCCCATCTTGTCACATTCGCCCACTGGATCAAATTAGACGTGATATAAGACCAAAGGTTAATCCACAATTTCTTTAAATGACAGTTGAAGTGTGTTGCAGTTGATGTGACAAGCAATCTTACTTGGTTAACCATAAGGGGAAGATCACGGTAACTATGAATCCACTGAGTGAACATGTGATTTACTATGGTTTCACTTGTGGGTCGAACCTGCACACCTTCGGTCATAGTTATTCAGTAACTCTACTTGTTCGAACACAATAGCTGACTTCATACAATCAAAAACGGAAATCCGATAAGTTTTGTTGATAGAGGATACATACCACAAGTTTTTCTTCAAGCTCCTTCCCTCCTCCTATTGTCACAACTGCTAATTCGGGACTAAACCCTTCAACATGGCTAGCTTCTTTCTCTATAAACGAATACGGTATAAACTGCAGCATTCCACATTATCAAACAAATCGAAGTATCAACTTGTAAGCATTAACTAATCAAAGTTACAATAACATTGAAAAATCACTGTAAATTTGTAATACCTGTGGGAAATACATGTTACTGTGGCCAGTCTCTTTAAATTTCACATTCAGATAATCCTACAGAATACATAAAATTACTTTCAAACCCCTGAATTCAATACAAATTTACGGCAACCAATAGAGGCGGCGGAGCTGGAATTACCTGAATAGCTTCCCATATGGCGTAACCGTAGGGACGGATGACCATGGTGCCCCGAACCGGACCGTAATCGGCGAGCTCTGCTTGCTCAATGACATCGAGGTACCAAGCATTGAAGTCCTGTGACCGAGGAGTGACGGCTCGTCCACGACTCGGTTGCTGCTCTGAGTCTGAGTGTCGACTCGGCCATTCGTTTCCGACACCGTGCTCTGAGCAGAGAAAGAGGCGGAGCATACGGGTCTTCGTACGCGGTGGTGGTTACAGCGGAGAAGTGACGAAGGACGGCGGGAGATGGCGGGCGAGAAGAGCGCGCTCAGAGATGGGAGTCTTAGTGAGACGACCATTTTTCGGAGGCTCGCGGGGAAGAGTCGGGGGGTGAGGAAGATGAGGTTTATAGAGTACAATGTCTGTAATGGTGACTTCGCTGATGGACCGTTGATTAATTATCTAACGGTCTCTGATGGATTTGTGGCTGAGAACTGGATTTTGGTCATTCTTCTTGTTCGGGCTGGGTTTGGTAATCTATCTGGGCTTGGGCCTTTATATGTTTCTGCTTCGGCTTCACTTACTTTGTTTCTAGTTTGGCAACTCCACCCGTTCTCCTAACAGCATATCTAAGGAAAAATTTTATTCAAACTCATGTAACTACTTTTTATACCAAATTTAAATTTTAAATGTTAATTGACACATCCCGACCCAGAGTGTCCACTAAGACTCCAAATCGAGCTGTGCTGGCTGACATTTGGAAGGTGACGAAGCTAAGTGTAGTGATGTGGAAAATATGAATAAATTTAAACCTAAAAGTGCCTAAATATAAGAGTGCACTGGTGAGAGAGAAAGAAACCATTTCACACGTGATGTCAGAGCATAAGTACAGTACAGTAAAATAGGGTGAAAATTATACGTAATTGCAGGTCTTCGTGTGGGAAGGCGAGTACTGTGGTACTCGGGGCGCATGGCAAGATCGACTCGACGACATGATCTATGAGTGGGTCTTTTTCTTTTTATATTATATATATACATATATATAATTGATGGTTTCCATTTATACATTTGAAAAAGAATCCTCTATGTATGCCTGGATCAAACTAAAGTTTATAAGAATTAGCGTAACGACAAAACTTATGAAATATGCTACATCCTATGGGATGCACAGGTATGGTATGATTATTGATGTCATAATTATGTTTACAGCTATGAATATGTTGATTAGAACTATTGAATCACTATGGCATGACTATATTTGTGTTTTATGCTCATCATTGTTGCACCCCGGTGTTAGTGCTCGCCCAAGGCCAGGGCCAGTTTTTCACTTGTATGTTCACCTCCGCACCGCACGCTTGCCTTGGATCCAAGTAGGTGGTAGTCCTATCATACAGATTGCATTCGGCAACTTTGACTCGTAAGTGACCGCAAATAGCGTCAGTCTTCACGTGATTGTAGCACTAAAGCGTATATTATGATTACACCTAATCTGTCGTACAAGTTGCATTAGGCAACTCCGACTCGTGTGCTAACATAGATTGATGAGTATCAGTTTAGTCGTACAGGTCGCATTAGGCGACTTCGACTTATGTACTAGCATAGATTGATGAGCAACCTGTTTCATTATGCTATTATTGAGATATTCTAGTTTGGCGTATTTCTGGTGTCATTGTTATTTACAGTTGTTTTCATACTTATACATAGTATTATTTTTTGGAAACTATACATGATTTATAGCGAGGGGTTAGTATGTTCGGAAAATAAATGTGTTTTATAAACCTTTGTTTTTGTGCCCACTCACCCTTTTGTTTTTCGCCCCTCCAGGTTCTCGTAGTAGAGCTTTTGTGCCGACAAGGAATATTGGCAAATCTTGGTGCAGAGTGCAGTAACACCAGTCCATCATCACCACCATCACCTCAGTGGCCACCATCACTGCCTTGTCTTTCCCTCATTCCTCGACAGCACTAAGATAGTGCAATCTCTCCAGCGAACCTTACTAGGACCACCTGTGTCTAGCATGACACTCTCACCCTTGTTTTTCACCCCTCAAGGTTTTAGTAGTTGAACTTTTGTATCGACAAGGATTCTTGGCAAATCTCAGTATAGGTGGCTACCTTTGATGGTATAACTCTTACTTTACCTTACTGTACTTTACTTATGTTATGTCATCACGTGTGAAATAGGTTCATTCCAATAAGCGCACTCTTGTATTTAGGCACTTTAGGTTTAAATTTATACATATTTTCCACGTCGTTACACTTTATAGCTTCGTCACCTTCCAGGTGTCGGCCATCATAGCTCGATTTAGAGTCCTAGTGGACATTCTGGGTCGGGGTGTGTCATTAATTGTGTATTTTACCATATTGCATAATTACTATTAAGTACAAAATGAAATTAATAATAAAACTCAAATTTATCAATAAACCCAAACACTATAATTAAACCCTACGACCACTTTTTGTTTATCCTATGTTCATTCTGGCTAAATCCCTAATAGCTCTCCTATAGAAAAACAAGTTTTTTTTTTTATTGATGGATGGTGATTTTGAAGTTTTGAATCCTCCAACCAAGGTATGACTCAATTTATGAATTTTTTATTTGTTTGATTTCAATTTTTTAGAGTTTAGAATATGAGTATTTTGGTTTAATTTTTTTTTTTTCAATCAATCCCGCATAGTTTGTTTATCTTTTTGCAACAGCAAATTGTTGCAGTCGCTCTCCCGCTGTCCATCTACACTCCAAAAAACCAAAACGACTTGCAGATATTGCAAGGACCTTGGATTCAGTTTGCTTCTTTTGTTTTTATATTATAATTTTATCTTCTCTGTCGGTGTTTGACTACACCCCAAAATCATCTCGCATCAATGTAGCTATTTCATAAAGTGCCACCTATCACTTTACTTTCAAGTAATTTCTATTCCTATATTGCAAAATACATAACTTTACTCTTGGTGCAAATATTGCAAGGACTTGCAGACTTGTAGACTTTGCAAGGACTTTAACACATTAGTGAAACTAAGCCCAGAAAATAAAAGGAGTTTCATGCCTGGTACATTTATGCTTGCATACTTTTCTTGTTGAGTACTATCTGAAGTCAAATAACTAATAATGTTTATACCTTAACACTAGACCACCACCTAGATTGCTACTAACATTTAAAATTACTACTTTATGTATTACAACATTAGAATGATTACTACTGAGATTTTATCGTGTGACCATTGGATGATATTTCAAAGTTGACGCGATTAAAATTCGTAGTCTAATTGCTTATAATTTGTCCATTTGTTGTTAATCATAACTTTAAGGTTTTTCACTGTAACCATAATTTTGTCATTTATTTTTTTAGCAACAAGAATAGGTTGGACAAGAATGTGTACTGGATTATACTGACCAATTTACAACTTATGAGGTAATCATATATTTAGTGTCGTTGACGTGTTAGTTAATTTTAGAATTTTACTTCTAAATAAAATATACGTGCAGATATTCAAAGGAAAAGATGCCTTGATTAGATGGGTTTATGAACAGGGAAAGCTGAATAATATGGTAATTGTTATTAAAATGTCTGACTTAGGAGGTAAGTAAGATTGTGAGTCGCCCTCGACTAACACTTGCTTGTGGAAGAAACGGTACATATTTGTCATACAAGTGTGTTGTAGCATATGGTCAAAGGTCAGGATAGATTGGTCAAACAAAAAAACAATTTAGGAGTTCTGGTACGAAAAAAAATGGATGTCCATTCTTGTTGAAAGGTGTGAATATTGTTGATTAGGAAGATTGGACATTGAAGGTAGTATGTGGAGTGCATAATCATCTTGCTTCAGAGTATCTTGAAGGACATTCTTTTGCGAGGCGACTTTCTAAAGAGGAGAATGAATTGTTGGTAGACATGTCTAAGAGTTTGGTGAGGCCCAAAGATATCTTGGTCTCTATCAAAGACAGAGATGCACAAAATGTATCAACTATGAGGACAATATATAATGCTAGGCACCGAAGTAAGATGAAAGGATTTGCCGGAAGGACACAAATGCAACAATTGCTTCATAAGTTGTCAGAACACAAGTATGTTGAGTGGCATAGGAGTTGTGGTGATACTGTGACTGACCTTTTATGGGTTCCACCTATTAATATTGAGATATTACGAGCATTCCCACATGTACTTATCATGGATTGCATATATAAAACTAACAGGTATCGTTTTCCACTCTTACAAATTGTGGGTGTGACATCCACTAATATGACATTCTCAGTTGCTTTTAATTTATGTATATGGAGGCTGAGAAAGAAGACAATTACACTTGGGCTTTGACTAGATTAAAGGCATTCATGGCTATTGTCTTCTTGGGGTTATTGCCACCAATCAAGATTTAGCACTCCTGAATTCTATCAAGTCTGTATTTCCTAGTGCAGAACATTTATTGTCTAGATGGCATATTAACAAAAAAGTGTTATCAAAGTACAAGAAAATGTTAGAGTCAAACAAGCAGTGGAATAAATTTAATAGAGATTAGAACTGCCTTGTGAGTTCGTAAATAGAAGAGAAGTATTAGCGTTCTCTGCAAGAAATGGAATCTAAGTTCAGTAATTATGATGATGTTCTTGAGTACATATGAAACAATTGGTTAATTCCATATAAAGATAAGTTCATAGGCACATGGATAGATAATTGTATGCATCTTGGTACTACAACCTTAAACAGGTATATTTCTCCTTACTTTTTCAATTCTATATGTAGTTTATTCTTACTCATGTATTGTTATAAACAGGGCAGAAAGTACACATGCAAATTTGAAGTGACAACTTCGCTCCAATCAACTTAACTTTGAGATGACGTGGGTACATAAACACTCTTTGTTGAAGTTGCATCATACAGACGTTAAAGCATCTTTTGAAAAAAGTCGATGTTTTGTTCAACACAAATTCAAGAAACCTAAGTTGCAATGACTAGTAGGTTTTGTTTCTACCCATGCCTTGAACTTAATTGTCTGCGAGTCCAAAAGGTAGTTTGGGTTTGCTTTGCATTTACATTATTATTGTTTAGCCTTTTAGACTATATTATATTTCAAGGTAACTTAAATTATATTGTATTTCTTTTAATAACATGTTGGAAAAAGAAAGAGTGACTATTGTATCTTGTGGTTGCACCATTCGCCAAACTTATAAATTGCCGTGTGCACATGAGATTGTAGAGTATAGAAGGCTTCGTAAGCTGATCCCACTTGATGCTCTTCATTCGCATTTGAGAAAATTAGATTTTATCAATGTGCCAAATAGCAGTGAACAACTAGTTCCTCCAGAAAAGTCATGAGTAAAAAGATTTAATATGTGGTATGAAGAACAAGATGATGATAAGAAAAGAGAGCTCGAGATGAAAATTGAAGAGCTAATGAACCCAAATACGAC